TTTCTCTTCACATGGCCAGTCTGACTATAGTTCCAATAAATTACTTTCTTCCTCATGGAGTTGCCCTTCTTCCCTTTTTTAGTCACAAGCACCGCATTGTCAGATGGTGTATCCTGTCCCCCTAATCTTCTTTCTTCTGAGATCAAGTTACTTGTCACTTCTGCGAAACTCATAGTTTCCTTCCCACACATCAAGATTGGCTTGATATGTTCATAGGTAGAGGGAAGAGACCGGATGAGCCTTAATGCCTTATCCTCATCATCTATCTTCACTCCAACAGCATCCAGTTCTGAAACAATTTCGTTGAGAACACTCAGATGGTCTGAGATTTTTGTAACTGCCTCCATGCACAATGAATGAAATTGCTCATTCAGGTACAACCGCTTTGAGAGGCTCTTCGTTTGATATAGTTCTTCTAGCTTCTCCCATAGTTCTTTTTCAGCAGATATTCCATAAATATTTGCAAGAACGTTTTTAGCTAGACAGAGACATATTATGCTTGCAGCCTTCAAATCCAACTCTTCTCAATCCTCATCGCTCATGCTTAATTCAGCTTTCTTGTCAGAACTCTTGGTTGGTTTTCCTTTACAAGTCATGTGCAATCCAGCTTGAATCAATAAATCTCTAACTTGTACTTGCCATAAACTAAAATTGATTCTTCCGTCAAAGTTTTCCATTACATATTTCAACGATGACATGTTTTTCAATTGCTCCAATACTCTGAACCACCTGACGCTCTGATACCACTTATTGGGAATTTTATGTCAATTCTCCTTATCTCTATTTACCCATAAGATCTTTTGTTGTTTAAGAGAATATTAGCAAACAATGAAAAATAAAAAAATGTAATGCACAAATTAAATGGATCATCAAAACTTTTCATTATATGAAAAATTATTACAATCATAAAGAATTTCACTTACCAACACAATCCCCAAGTATTATAAATGAAAAAATAAAATCGAACTTTACCACACCAACTTTTCTACCCAATATACAAAAAGTCTCAAGATGCTAGGCTCATAATATTTTCCTCTCAGATCAACTATATGGTCATACCTAAAATAATGAAATACATCCACTATTTATAGGATCAGTAACCAAGTAGAAGAGTTTAATTTATACTCAAGCAAGACTTCTTTAACTCAACAAGTATTCATCCATATACAAGATTTCAAAATCGACTATAAATTGGAGGACCAAATTCTGTAAAGATTCTACTCTCAACTTTACTTAGAATTCTTCCATACAATAACTACCTTTTATTATTTGCAATAGAAGTCCTCCAATTTTTCACATTGATTATGGATGGGGTTGGTATTCAACTTATAAATGTGAGGGAAAACTTCACTTCTTGAGTTAGCTTTTGGGGGTGAGAAAGGTCCAATACCACCCAACATCTGGTATCAAAGCCCGATTTATCAACAAGTCTCCAGCCCAACAGTTATTGAGATACGGGTTTGAATTAGAAGGAGATGGGTTTGGTCTCTCATAGGCCTCATTGTGTGAGGGGTAGGGATGGCAATTGGGCTCGTTGGCTTGATCTGAAAAAAGCTCGAGCTGGCTCGGCTCAAGGCTTGGAGGCACTAAGCCAGGCTCGGGCCGAGTCCCATTTTAAGGAGTCAGCTCTAGAAAATCGAGCTCAACTCAGCTCAACGCTTGGGCTGAGCTTTAATTTTTTTGGCTCGGCTCGGCTCGGCTCAAGCCAAAAAAGCATGCCTTAAAAAGCTCAAGTCGAGCTTGAGCGGGCTCGACTCGACTTGTTGACACCCCTATGTGAGGGAGATATATGTTTGGTCTCCTGCAAAGCCCGATATATGAGGGAGAGATTGTTAAGGTTGTACCACATCGATTGTAGATGGGGTTAGCATTCGGTTTATAAATGTGAGAGAAAGCATTACCTCTTGAGCTAACTTTTAGGGTGAGAGGGGTTTAATATCACCCAGAACTAGAGTCTTGTTCTCCCATTTGGTCGATTTTGGTCTTAAAATGGATTGTTAGCATTTAGAAAGGTGACAATCTGTACTCGACTATGATTTGCTGCACAAAAATAAGGGTATATGATAAATAAATAAAGAAAGAAAAAATAAAACGACATGTCTCCGTATGACGATGTTGCTAACGATTATAAGTGTTCACTTTTCAAATTAGATGATTTAAAAAAAAAAAAAAAAAACACCCCTCCATGGCTAGGTAAGTGGCCCTCCCAGTTTTTAGTTAATTTTTCATTAGTTTAGCTTTCTCTAAAAGCACTCTTGCTGTGGGAAGATTACATAATAAAGGTAATTAAGAGGTACAATTTTCAAAATTAAGAAAGTTCTTTTGAAGTTTCAAAAATTAGGTCAAAATTTAAATTGATAAGTTATATAATTAAATCGATAATTAAAAAATTTTATTAATTAAATATATTAAGGTCACAATACTTTACGATTTATGATCATAGTTATATACTAATCACAATCATAGAACGTCACAATCACAAATCATCAATTTTATATGTTACAAATTATTTATCGATTACAAATTATCAAATTAATAGGTCATGTATTATTTCTCGATCACAAAACACAAATTTTATAGGTAGCAACTTGTTTCAGGATTACAAATTATCAAACTAATTGGTTATAACTTAACAAATTGTTAGTCATGATTATAAATTTAGACATAATCTCACATTTTTAGGTCACATATTATTTATTGATAACAAATTATTTATTTTATCGATTACATATTATTTATTGGTTATAACTTAACCAATTTATTGGTCCAACCATCCAAATAATTGGTCACAAACACTCTTCATCTCATCTCATCTCACCCACCACCACCATAATCACTCCACAGCCAGCACGTCACCACCATCGTCATCACCTCACCACTATAGCCAACACCGCCACCATTATTTACAAAACCATCAACAAAAATCACCCAAAAACTTTGGCATTGATAATTGCTAACTGTAACTGGTAATAGAAAAAGAACAAAAAAAGGGCAATATTGGAGATGACGAGAACGCAAGGCTTGGCCATGTGACTGCGACCCAAGCCAGGTTCACCGCATATTGCACAGTGACTAGTGCAGTAACGGTGCTTGCACAGCATGCAATGTGTCATTCATCACTATTGTAGCAACGCACACATCGTATGTAGAGACATTATCACTGTTGCGCATAGTGCACAGCAACATTCGTCGCTTGTTGAAGTGGTCTCTCGACGATGGTTGATAAAGAGAGAGAAAATAGCAAGAAAAGGATAAAGAAATAAAGAGAAGGGAGAGGACAAAAAGAGGAGAAGAGGAAAATTAGCGTGGGTATGAGTATTAATTCATTTTTTTAATATAATTATTAATACTAAAAATTTGAATTATCACCTGATTTTGAATTTAAAAAAAACTTTCACATCTTATTTTTGAATCAAAAAGTTATTATTATTATTTTTTTAATCACGTTAGCTAGAGAAAGTCTTACTTATATTTACGAAAATTTTATTTTTCCAACATTGTTGGTAAATTTTTTATGCAATCTACATTAGCATTAAAGATGCTTTAAATTTTGCATGTTATTCTATCTTTAATCAAACATGAGACTAGAGATGAACATGAATTGAGTTGATTTGATTTTCAAACACACCTGAATAATTTCACATCTAACCCAACCGGAAATTGGAAAACCGACCAATCTTGGGTCGATTTGGTTTGGGTCATTCAATTTAGTCGTGGACCAAATTCAAACAAGATCATTAGAATATTTATATTAAAAATGATTTTTTAAATATTTTTTGCGTATTTATTTAAATTTAAAATATATGGACCTTCAGAAAATTGTTGGCCCCTCCAAACTAAAAAAGTGGGGAAAAAACACACACACACAACAACAACAACAACAACAGCAGCAACTACTAGTAATAAAAAACGTAACAAATAATGAAGAGAAATAAGTGTTAATTTGCTTTTATTATATTTATTTTATAATTATACTTAATTAAAAAAAATTTCCTCCATTTGGATTAGATTTCTCAATAAAATTGTAAACCGACCAAACCCGAGTCGGTTCAATTTGGATTGGTGGGTTTGGTCGTTTTGCAGGTGAAACGTCCACTGGTAAGTGAGACTTGATATTATATTAAACCCTTGTTTTGTTTAGATAAAAATTAGATTTGTTTTAGATTTTGATAAAGTTGATAGAATGTATAGTTGAAAAGTTGTGTATTTCATGAAATGTGTGGTTAAAATCAAATTTGATTTTAACTTAAATTTTAATCCAACTTTTATTTGAAGTTGTATATTACTCCACGTTTTTAAAGGTAAAGACTTGCTAGTTGTGTCAATAATTGATGCTGAATCAAGTGGTCCCTTGATTAACAAAAACTACCTTTTTAAGGTTTTCTAGTTTCAAAGTGATACGATTGTGAATGGACTCAGTTCCAACTTGAAACCGATTTGATTCTGCCAACTTGATTATCTTCATATACATCAAATTGATTTTAACTTAAATTTTCATAAGTTGTATATTACTCCACGTTTTTAATGTTAAAGACCTGCTCGTTGTGTAAAGAATTGATGCTTATGCTTAATACATCTAATGTAGAGGATTCAAATTATTTATGTCAACTCACACTATAATGTTGATGTGACATCGAAAGTATTTTAGATACAACATTAAGCTCCCATTTGGCGTCTATTTTTTTTTTCAAATTTTAATGTTTGGAATAATATTTTTTGAAATATGTGTGGTCAAAAAATGGAATTTTTTTTAATTTACGTGTAAGATTATTTTATGAATGATTACGTGATTGAAAATAGGAGAGGGGAAAAGAAAATGAAAGAGAATGAGGGACAAACGGGGGAATAAAAGGAGAAGAATGTAAGCATGGGTTGGTGGAGCCTTTTAACGTGGCTTGTCCAAAAGAAATCCTTGAATCTATGAAGTCCAAAGGCAAAGAAGTTCAATATAATATCATAGTAGCCTCGTGTTCAAGAACTAGAGAGGAATAAAACTATATAATTTATTTTATTTTTGCAAACTCTGAGATAGTTTTAAAGTTCGCAGAACATTTAACGACATTACAAGAATTTTTACACTGTACTAAAGTGCAATACTCTTCAATTTCTTCACCGCGACACCATTCCGGGGATGCTTTTCGATGGCAACCATTTTCCCAGTAACTCTAGCCGGGAGCATATCGAGCTCGTTTAAAACCTTTTGAATGTCCATGACAAGATGCTCGGCTAAAGTCCTTGAAAAATCTTCGCGTATAACAACTCGAAGAACTGTTACATGTTGTGCGTCTGGAGGCATAGTATAGGCGGGGACGATCCATCCAAAACGGCGTAGCATATCAGACACCTCGAACTCAGTGTGACGACTATTGTCTTTGAGAGAGAATGCCACCAATGGGACACCATTGTCTTTTGATACAATGTTGAAGCGTCCTGTTTTCTCCAAGCCTTCCTTGAGTACCATTGCATTTTCTTGACAATTTTCCATGATGTTCTTGTACCCCTGATCCGCCAACACCATTTAATCAATAACTGAACTGAGATAATTGAGTTAGATCAAGAAAATTATGTTCCAATGCATGAATAATACTATTATATTGATTTTCTTTCATTTAATTACCTCATAACCCAAACGAATGAGTTGATAGTATTGAGCAATTACTTGACTAGAACCTGCAACATCAAAAATGGTAGCATTAGACCATGTCCCGTAGTGAAAACTATTGTGTCGTTTATTTATTTTTTACCTTTAGAAAAGTTGAGTGTGAAAGTGGGTTGATCAGCTCCAAGGTAGTTAATGTGGAAGATGAGTTCTTCAGGCAAGTCCTCCTTATTCCTCCAAATTACCCATCCAATTCCAGCATACACAAGTCCATACTTGTGCCCACTCACATTAATACTCTTCACTAGTGGCAACCTGAAATCCCACTCAAGTTCTGGGTAGAGAAATGGTGCAATGAACCCACCACTTGCTGCATCCACATGAATTGGTGTGTCCCACCTACTCAGAATAAAAAAAATCCGGCTCATTAAAGGCTTTACACGTAAAATTTTCATAAATAAGTGACTGGTAAACCCTAAGTTGAGAAAGACATATACCCAGTTTCTTGATTCTTTTTCATCAAAAGGTCGTTCAACTGCTTGACATCTTCGAATTCTCCATTAAGAGTAGAACCCAAAATTGCAGCAACACAAATTGTGTTTTCATCCACCATTTCCACAGCTTTCTCAGGGTCCATGACATAGTAGCCATCTCTCAATTTGACCTCCTTTAACTCCACTTCAAAATACCTTGCAAATTTCTCCCAACACACCTGTGCAAAGGACAATTTCAATAATGCATGACAATTTAATATTTTAACTTATTTTATGAGTAGAAATATATATACCTGAACATTGGCACCAGTGACAATGTTAGGCTTGTCACAGGGTTTACCAAGGGATTTCATCTTATTCTGCCATTTTCTCTTGAATGCTAAACCTGCAAGCATAATGGCTTCTGATGATCCTACTGTTCCAACTCCAACTGCTGCCTCCCCATCTCCAAGTGGTGCATTAAAAAGATGCCCAATCATGTTAACGCATCGATTCTACAAGTGTTACGAGTATTATTTGATAGTCAATTAATAGCATGATTGATAAATTATAATAAATCTGACGTGATTAAAATGAAAATTAGCACTAGTATGAATACAGGGTCAAGTTCAAAGAACACCTTCGACCAAAACAATTGACACGTGAAAAAAAATCAAAGGTCGAATAGTTCCTGTTTTCTACTTTGAAACAAGACTGGAAGTTCAGTTTGGTTAAACTGAATAAAACAACAAATAAAAAAAAATTTAAGTATTTTTTTATTTTTTATTTTTGGAATAAAATTTAGTACTAAAGTCCTTAGGATGCTTTATGATGGTTGGTTATGTTACAAACATAACGAGTAGATCGATAGATCAGTTTATCTGGATAGAGTAACTAATTTTTGTGTAAGAAGTCAATAATTATTACATAATACGATGTCTCAATAACTAGATCATACATAAATTATGCAAAAGGATATATTACATTTGAAAATGAAAGTGACTTCTTCATGCTTAATTGTAATTTGATGTTTAAACAATTAAACTTGTCCAGAAGTTTTACTTAATGAAATAATTACAAATGACTTGCCTGAAGCTCAGTGGTGACAGGGTATTCATCCATGTCGACGTAATTCTTGTTAATGGCATCCATGATAAGCTTGTCGCACTCAGGTTCCATCCATGTTGTAACGAACGAGGCCAAATTCAACCTAGGATTCCCATCCAACATGAGTTCATCGTTGATGATCTGGTATGCGGCTTCCTTGGGAATCGAATTCTCTGGAACCTTAAACCTATCAAAATTTTCATTGAATCCTTGTGAGGTGAGTATGTGATTCTATTTGACAACTATTATTTAGGAAAAGTAAAGTTTAGAATAGTGATTTTTCAAAGAATATATTGTTAAAACGTAGGAAAAATTTTATCGTGTGAATATATGGTGGAAAATGAATATGTGAAAAAAAAAATGTTTGAAAATAATGATTGTTAAACAAGGCCTGGATACAGTCTATCCAATTTGATATAGAAACACAAAATATATGAAAACAAATTTACCGTGGAAGAGAATCCCGAACGTATCGGGAAGCAAATGTTGAATGGACCGAGACATCGGATTGGGAGAATGTCTTGGATAGAACCATGGTAGAATTGTTGTCGAGAAGCAATTAAGTTAAGGAGAAGATGCAGAAATTGGAAGAAATAAGAAAGATTTTATGTCGGTGAAATATTTAGACCAAGTAGTTGGTGCTTATATAGAGGGAGAGGGTAGACAAAATTCCTAGGAATAAACAATTGCGTGTGCTATTCAATTCAATTTATTCATTGAAATGCCGCCGCGTCCGTCCCTAGTAACACATTCAAACTGCGTTCTATTAAACAAGAAAACTTTCACAAATTAATAAAATCAAACAATAGAAAATATTCACACGATTTGACCAATTTTTTGAATTTGAACTGTGAGTATTGATTTTTTAAGCTTGCTGTTTGTACAGAAACTGTACACATAGAAGCCATACGAACAAACACGACAGAAGGTGGGTGGAAGGATTTTTTGACATTTTTTTATCACAACATAGGTCCCTCACACGTGAGATTTCTGACAGAATTCTGTGAAACAGTTTTCTGTACAAATGAAAATCTTCTTTGTTTCTTATAATCAATAGACTTTTGGTCAAAATAGAAAATCAAATAGTCTTGTATTTTCTTCCTCTTCATTAGTTTCATGTTTAATTATTATTTGACTAAATCTAAGTCACATATGTCAAATTTTTTATATAATTGTTGTCGTTGGATTATTTTATTTATTTTCTTTGCTGAAGTTTGAACTTTATTTTAAAATTATTTTTGTTTTCATCTTTTCTTTTTTGTGGGGGTGGGAATCAACTTAAAAGTGTCTATTTTTGAATGTGACGTGAACTGATTCCATGGGTGCGTCCAAAAATAATTATTCTTTTCACGTTTTGTATATGAAAATAAAGTCGGTTTCATTAGTTAATTATACGACTTTTGTCCACGGTCTGCCACATATTTTTGGAAGGGGATAAATCCGTGCATGTTTGTCAAAATTTTAATTTAAATGAATTAAATATATATATATTTTATTTACAAGATTTCGTAATATTTACTATTTAATAATAATTTATTATCCATATAATTTTTAAAAGCAACACCGTGGAAGCACAAAATAAATTTTCGGAACATGACCATTTACGAGTTTTGTGTATGTAGAAATACAAATAAAAATTACGAGATGAGATGAAAAAATAAAAAGAACAAAAAACATATATGTACATAGAAGTCGTGTCTCTGTATAAAATTAACACGTTTAATTAAGTTCCATTTGGGCCCCCGTTATTTCAATTTATAATTTTTGGAATAATATATATATATTTTTTCTTTTTTGAAGAATGTGTGGTTGAAAATAAAAGAAAAGTTTTCGATTTACATATAATATTATTTTATAAAAGATTGTGTGGTTGAAAATAAGAGAGAAAAAATTATAATTTGAAATAATAGAAACCAAACAGGGCTAAGTCAAATACTAAATAATATAAGCCAAAATCGAATAACTATAAATGATCTATTAACATATTTGTACAATGATTTTGTACAACATTGTTGACAATGACGGGTGTAGCAAAAAAGCATTGATCAAAAAGATGGGTTTTTTTTCTTTTTTTTAAAACTATCTAATGATAACATATCATGTGGTATGTTGTCAACAATATTGTCAAATTCATTGTACATGAAACATTGCTTTATTCTAATAGTCCGATGAAATAAAGAATGACCCGTTCAACCACTTGGACCTTTTCGAAGAGTCATGAAGGTGGCTTTCAACGAGTTGTTGCGATCATCAATCATCAAACTTGAGAACTAAGGCATATGTGAGTCCTCCTTTTGACAAAATTATGGTCGTACAAGACTAATGCAAGTGGCGAAATTGGAAGTCAAAAATAGGTTTGACAAGAACGCCACTACAAGGGGTAAGTTTAGCATATTAAATTGGATAGAGATTAATTTAATTTTTATTCAGTAAATTGATTTGATTAATACTCGTTAGTTAGTTCGGAATGATTATACTCTTAATCAATTTTACAAAACTAATGTACTATTTAGTGGAACAATTCCATATATAAACGTGGTAGGATCATTCACTCAAATCATGACATATTAGACTCCAAACGACAAACATAGAGTTGATAAGAGAAAGAAACAGATAAGGAGAACAGATCCAACGGCTTTTGAAATGTCGTGACTTGAGTAGTTCAGCCCGAGATGTCGTGATTTGAATGAATGATCTAATCAAATGTGTGTACATAGGATCATCGTCAGGAAATATTTCTCCGGCTTATGAAGTGAGTTTAAATTGTATGATTTATTTACTATTTTATGAATTAAGAAAAATTAGTTTAATTTAAATATGCAAGTTTAATTACAAGTAAATAAGAACCTTAAATTTCATTTATAGGATAAAAAATGAATAAATAAAAACTATTTCTAAATAAAAATCATTTTTAAATAATATCTGACATATAAGTAAAAAATGATTACAGTGACAAAGTTGCATACAAGTAAATAAATTCACTAGTAATTTATAGAAATTACTTAGATGTAAAAATATTATTTATAAGTTAAGAATAAGTTTCGAGTAATAAATCACTTAAGAAAAATGATTCCACTCTGTCAACTTGTTTAGGAACGATTTTTTGTCCCAAAAAATTGATTTTTTTTTACTGTTATTTCACTATTTCAACCGTCATATTTGACTTCTTCTTTTATAAGTGGACCCCACTTTTTTTCTAACGGTCAAAAAATCAATTCTCAAAATCACTTCCAAACAGGCTATGTCTCTTTCACCCCCATAGAGAGAGAGAGAGAGAGAGTAATTTGATTTTGTACATAGTCGATCTGATTCCCTAACTTTGCTCTGAAAGTCAATCAGTTCTTTTCTCTTGCATTGATGCAACCTCAAATACATCGATTTTTGGAAAGAAAGTTCTAGCATTAAAGATGAAGAACCTAATTTACTTGTCTCCGAAGGATCCGAGGAAAAAGACAAAAGAACAAGATTGGACATGTGTCGAAAGAAGATTTGTGAATTCAAAAGAAGGAAATGGAGCAACGACGAATTTCTTATTAGTCACAGGCTCAATCTGGATAATCAATGCTGGTCTTTCAATGGAATCATTACCAAACCTCCAACTTCAGATTCAAGTTTTGGAGAATAGAGCAATCTTGGATTGTAAATGCCATAATTCACGAACTTGTTTGAGATGCCATTTATGCGTATACAGCAAGGGATCTCAGGGTTGATCTTAATGGGCCACGCATCTTTGAACTTCAACAGAAAATGGGTTCTGTACTACAAGATGAAAATGGTAGTATTCAAGAAAGAGACATAATTTCCCTTTTACAATTACCAATCGTTTCACCAAACTGCTGAACTTCTCGGTACAAACATTGCGGCGCCAGTGCTTAACTTCAGCTTGAAGTTTGTTTGCTTGCTATACAAACTCTACTTCCATTACTAAGAGTCTATTTGAGAGTGATTTTGAGAATTAATTTTTTGAACGTTAGGAAAAAAGTGGGGTCCACCTGTGAGAGAAAAAGTCAAGTATGACTGTTAAAATAGTGAAATAACGGTCAAAAAATTAATTTTTTAGGCCAAAAAATCACTCCCAAACAAGTGCAAGTATATAAGATATTCATACCAAAATATTTCCACAAAATGGTAGCAAAACGTATAACTTGTACAGTTTTGTTTTCCTCATTTTCCAAGTATTTATGACCTATATGTTCGTAGAACTATTTACTCAATCGTAGAAATTTCTAGAACCCCTATAACAGAGGGAAAAAAACTCAATTAAGCTTCAAGATCTTGGTCATATGAAGTATTTTCTTGGCATTGAGATTGCTCACTCAAAGAATGGGATTTACACAAGTCGACAAAAGTATGACCTTGAATTACTTGAAGAGTATGGTCTCCTTAGCACTCAATCTACAAATACTCCACTGAAATAAAACCTGAAACTAAGCAAATCCAATGGAGAACTTTCTCTCAAATGTTACTTCTTCTAGGTGCTTGATTGGTCGCATGCTTTATCTCGCAGTGACTAGACCAGACATTGCCTATTGTGCACAAGTACTTAGTCTGTTTCTTGAACAACCCAAGCTACCACATTATTTCGCTGTCTTGATTCTCGGCACTCATCCTTGGAAATTCTTCAATTTCATGAAAGTCTAAGAAATAGGAAACAATATCCAGTTCTTCTGTTGAAATAGAGTATTTATGAATAGCAACAACATGCCGTGAGATTATTTGGTTGCTGTACTTGTTAGCAGATCTTGGAGTTCTTCATCCTCAATCGGCTTCCTTTTATTGAGACAACAAAGTTGCATTATACATAGTGTCAAATCCAACCTTCCATGAATGAAATGAACACATCGAAATTGATTGTCATTTAATTCGTTAAAAGATTCAAAAGGAATTGTTTGCACCTAGTATGTTCGTTCACGGCATCGGCTAGCTAACATTTTTACTAAGCCTCGGTTTGGCAGAATTTATAAATAGTTTGTAAAATGTGCAAAATTCATTTTCAACCACCCACAAATACTATTGATCACTCATTTCTATGTATTTTATAGATTAAAACATTTATTTATGCTTCAAGATAGGTGTTCAAGATCTTCACCTACCATTTTGAGGGGGAAGTGTTGAAGACTCATACTCCTTGATCCCGTCCATCTTGATCTCCTCCATTGATTATGTTAATTAGTTTACTTGTTTGTCAAGACTTTAAAGCAAATTACACATTGTAATCTTATTTGGAATATACTGAAAATAATATTGTCAAGATTGTACAACACAATGAAATAAATATTTCTCCTCTTTGTATAATTAGAATAGGTCTATCAATCAATTGAAACTATATATTTCGTATTACAATTTGGTCAAACTAATTGTAACCATGGTTAACATTTTGCCCATAACACATATTTATCGTCGAAAAGTTAACAAGTGTGAATCGATACAATCTTTTTATTGCAGATATTTTCGTATATGAATAAAGCTGGCCAGTGTGGCGCCCCCTTATAGGCAGGGCGCCTATCGAGCCCTGGATGGATAGGACCGACATGGTTGCTCATATATTATTTCACATCAAGATTTTAGCATATCTCACATTTGTCATAAATGAAAATTTTCCAAATAAAATAATAAATGACTATTCCCGTTTGACCTACATTCTCTTTTTTATTTTTTTATTTCTCTTATTTTCAATCACATAATCTTTCATAAAATAATATTATATGTAAATAAAAAAAAATTCACTTTTTTTTAACCATGCATTTTTTTAAACAAAAATTTGGAAAGAATGCAACCGAACGGGGCTATTTCGTTCCCCATTCTCTTCTCCTCCATCCCCCATCCAATAGGTTGCACTCTCATATGATACACGACTCGAATGTTGAAGTTTGTCGCAAAGGCAAGAGGAGGAGGAGGAGGAGTTGCAGCCAGGACCTCGCTGTACCTGATCGCCTCCACCGGTTTCGCCTCGCTCACTTACCAAACTCTCAACACTGAAAACTCCCACTATATTCACACACCAAATTTCCCGTTCAATTTCTTAAACGGCGTCGTTCGGTCTTCTCGCGCCCTCTTCACTGTACTTATCTGCTTTCTGTGTTAATTTTCCCATTTAATTTACTATTTTATTCTGCATTTTGGGCAGATATTAAGATCCTATGCATTTTGCAGATTACTTCGTGTGTTGTTGATTACAAGTATTCGTTACACGGGCTATCGGTGGATTCCAATGAATATGGGCTTGTATTGTCCGAGGTTTGGCAATTAGTTTTACATGATGTTATACCTCATTCTTAATAATAAACTTTATATTTTCTATTTGATTTAACTTAGTAATAGAGATACAAGAATAAGTGGAAGTATACTTACAAGGCAAAACTGCAAAAGTGGGCTCCTCTATATCATCCAAGTTCTAAATTTTCTAATCTATGTTCCGAGATGATGAATAGGTGTAACAACTACTGGACTTGCATGAATTGCTGATGAAATTATTGTGGTCATATAAATTGCTGTAAAGGTACAAACTTATATTTTCTATATTTATGTTATAACTCAGACAGCAGTAACTAGAATGGTTCACACATAGTTCAAACAAAGAAATGGCTATTCTTGAGAATGCTGTTGTTGACTTCGCTAATTAACATATTGAGGAGACATGATTAACTTTCACTAAAGTTTATCCAGAAGTGATTTAATGTGGAAGTTTTCGTCAGAGGATTAGATGAGGAAGTACAGTGTCCCTTTGTTTAGAATTTGATGCTTTGTAACTTTCCAGATCCATCTACGCTCAGCAAAGAGGATATTAAAATTGTGCCATGCCAACAAAGGTTTCTATGTCAAAGCTGGACAGTTTGCTGCAGCCATGCGGCAAGTTCCGAAAGAGTACTCGTCTACCATGTCATCTTTACAGGATCAGGTTCTTAGCTTTGTTTTATGGGAGTTGTGTTTTATTTGAGCAAATTCATGTGGCATGGTATTGGTTTTCATTGGTTACAAGCCATATGCTGTTTCATGCTTGGTGATGCTTTAGGCAGTTCCTTGTGATTTCAAAGCCATCAAGGATGTTATATTCAGAAGTTTGGGGAAGGATTTATTAGAGATGTAAGTTGTAACATGCAAATTTAAAAATATTATAAATTTATTTTTTGTTAAGTTCTATTACTGCCTCGTCTTATCAACCATATCCAAACTCTGGTTTCTTATTCATGGTAGCAGACACATATAGCACTCATTGCATTCGGTTTAGCTGGATCACTCCTGATTAGCTTATGAATGGAATTCATTAAGCTTGTTTTTAGCCCTTAATTATCTTATCTTATGACCTATTTCCCAGTGTATCTGATGAATTATGAACTGTTCCTATATCATAATTAGATCTATGTCATTTGGTTTTTCGGTTTCTGAACCCCATTTGTCAATATGCAATGATCTTGGAAATTCTTGCAAGTGTAAAAAGTGTTGGCTTATTTGAAAGTCTTCACGGTTGAGTTCCTTAAAATTTTTATGTTACTATGCATTGGAAATATTCTCATTGTGCAATATTTGTTGTATAAGATTTACTTCATATGCTGCATCGAGCAGTAACTTAGCTGTTAGATAGTGAACCCACAGGGAAAAGATAGATATGCCCCTTCACCCAGAAATAGATATGATGGAGCTTGCATCGGTCAAGGACCTCATAATCTGTAGTTCAATGCAGGATTCAACCTCAAATTATCTACAAATGAAAACAAGATTAGTGTCTTAAAAGGTAAAAGCATGAGGGGCCTCTTCCCTCTTGTTGGACATAGTTGGAGACTTATTCACTTCAATTTCTGACAATTTTGGATAGAATAATATTGAAAATAATAAGATAATTATAAAACCGAGAAGTTGCTGAAAATGTTTAGGAAATTTGAGAATAGATCTAGACCAAAAGAGTCACTGGTCACCTAACAAAAATGAAGCAAGGCGACCTACTTTCAAAGGTGTTTGGGTCGTTACACTAACTTATTTTATTCATCTTTTCATCTCTCTCTCTGAATGTCACTCCTCTGTTGGCCCTTCAGGGCATCAACTTCTAATCTGTAGCTTTGTAAGTTTCTCTTCTTGCCTGTTGACTTGTAATGCACTGACACGGATATGTGCTTGTCGGATATGTTGATGCACAAATTTTCAAAAAAGTACTGATACGACATGTCGTCGACTCTTTGATTAAATTCTTTATTTATATAGCCCCTGTTTGTTTCCCATTTTTTCCCCATTGAAATGAAAAATATGACAATTATCTATCACATCAAGTTACCAAATTTGAATTTTATCTCTTATGTGGAGTCCATTAAGACTATATTTTTTATTCTCATTTTTATAAAAATGGGAAACAAACGTCCCAATAATATAAATTTAGTTTTATAGTTGTTATTAATTTTTCATATTGAAATCTTTTAAATGTGAGTATCTATTTATTATTTACTAATAACTTTGAATTAAAAATGTTTAATATTTTTAATTAAAAAAATGTTTATGGTAGAGTATTTGAGGAGTCTTGGTATCAACGTGTCGAAATTTGGATATGGACATGCTATCCCGGCCGGTTGAAGTGTTTGTGCTACAGAGTAACGGAGCTGTTGACAGCTAGACTCTACAGCCATTGAAAGCAATGACAGTGATGATCACAAAATCAGGTCAAAAACTTGATTGGGAGAATGCTCAGCTAATTAATGTTGACTTCAACGCAAACTGATTGGGGAAAAAAAAACGAAGGAAAGGATTATGTGGAAGTTTACCCAGAAGTTTGGGACATCAGAAAGTTGTGTGTGTCAGTTGCATCCCAATGTTAA